CTTGTCGAATAGTGCCGTGGGAACTTTTAACATCCACCTGAACAGGCCGACGGGACCTCAGTTCAACATCTCAACTGAAGGACGGCACCTCCAAGAATGCAACACCCCCCAGCACTGTACTGGAGAGCAAGGTTGGACTGTGAGCTCAGAGTCCCTTTGTGGGGCTTGAACCCACAATCTTCTGTCCAGAAATGAGAGTGAGCCAGGCTGAGGTGACACGCAACCCAACCCTCCCCTCCCCTCGCACAGGGAATCTCAGCCACGGATACTTTCTGAGGTACAACCAGTGTCCACTTCTCCTTCCCATCAAGAGAGGCCCTCAGCCTGACCAGGACACACACAGACACACACAACAACAAATTGCATTTATATAGCGCCCTTCACGCGATGTAGTGTCCTGGAGCGCTTGACAGTGGCGGAGTCTGACATTGAGCCAGGGGGAGAGGGAGGGAGGAGGTGTCCGTAAGCACGTTGAAAAAGGATGGTCTTTAGGAGGAATTTGAAAGTGGGGAGGGAGGGGGCAAGACAGAGGGATTAAGGAAGAGAGTTCCAGTGTTTTGGGGCGTAATGGCTGAAGGAACGGCCACCAATGATGGAGCAGAAGGGACGGGGGACAAACAGGAGGCCAGAGCCAGCTGAGCGGAGGCAGCGGATGATGGAGTGGGGGGTAAGCAGGTCGGATAGACAGAGAGGTCTGAGGGCAGGAAGGGATTTGAAAACGAATGAGAGCATCTTGAAATCGATCTGTTCAGTAGTAATTGGGAGCCGGTGGAGCCTGGCAAGGACTGGTGTGGGTGGGCATTTGGGCGGCGGAATTCTGTAGTAATTGGATTTTGTGTGTGGTGTAGCTGGGGGAGACCAGCGAGGGATTGGAATAGTCCAGCCAGGAAGTGACGAAGGCGTGGACGAGGGTTTCGGCTGCGTTGGAGCCTCTCACTGAACCCTCTTCCAGCAAATCTTCTCAGTATTATCACCACCTGTCACAGCGCTTCCCACCTCCCCAAACACACAACCGACTGGGAGGTAGGGGTGGGGAGAGGGGAATGATAACCAACTCTGCTGAGCAGAGACCAGGGCTGGCCCCTGGTTCCCCTCCGCCCCCCCCACACCACTGACCGACACTGGCTGACATTGGCGCTCCATGCATTCAGAAATAACAACACAAAGGACACATGGACACAGAACAGCAGTCGGTGTGAACGCATTCACTGTGTGTTGACTCGCGGCCAGCTCACAGACACAGGAACAAACTGATCCACAGTGAAAGGGTTTGTGGGAATTGATGATGTTGTTATTTGATCCACTGTTTGTGAGTGTGTGACCTGATGTATTTCCTGTGATTCTCAGTATTTCCTGTGCCAACGGTTATCAGCCGGAATGTCACATATTGAGACATTAATCCTAATGTAACCTAACAAAACCCATCCCAGGAGATGCACCGTGGCTATTTCTGTCAAACAATAATAGTAATCTTTGCATTTGATACACTGTCTATAACTTCAAAACATCTCAAAATGCTTCACAAAGTTACGTAAGTGACTATATGTTTTGTGGGTGATCTGGCAGCCAATTACGTACAGCAATGCCCCTTAAATAGCTATGGAGTGAATGACTGATTTTTATATGAGGAACTGTCACTGGGAGAACGAAACTCCCTTTTCTTTTTGAATAGTGCCGCGGGATCTTTAACGTCCACCTGAACAGGCACAGACGGGGTGTCAATTTCAAATCTCCTCCGAAGGATGGCACCTCCGATAATGTGACTCTCACCCAGCACTGCGCTGAGTGTCAGCCTTGACTGTGAGTTCAAAGTCTCTGAAGTGGAGCTTGAACCCACAACCTCCTGACTGTGAGGTGAGTGTGCGAGCAACTGAGCCGGGCATCGCTTCATTATATGTAACTAATGAAGGTCTGATTGTTTGTCTTAACTCTTTAAGGTCCGGTTCATGTCCAGCTCCACCTCACCACAAACACTGAGGCAAACACAATCTTCTCAATGTGACTATAATTCAATAAAATACTTCAATATTAAAGAAATAAATCCTGTTGTTCTCCATGTACTAAAAGAAAATACATATAGAGTCAGGTACTGTCCTGTCACCTCTGGGACTGGGTGTGAAAAAGGCCCAAACTCATCACAGCACAGAGAGCTCAGTGTGTTGGCTGTGGAGGAGTGAGGGTCAGACAGCCTCCGTGAGAGGGTGGGGAATCCCAACCCAGGACCTTGTGCTATGGATCTCAGTGCAGAATTGCCTGAAATTCATCAGTAAGTGTGACAGTCTAACCTGTGCTGTCACTGACTTGGGAGTCCTGGCTGGACAGTGTAGAGGGAGCTTTACTGTGTCTGTAACCCTGACTTGGGAGTGTGGACGGACAGTGTAGAGGCAGGGAGTGTTACTCTGTCTCTAACCCACGCTAGAGACAGTCACGGACACCCTAAGAGTTAAAAGTGTGAATCTTGTTTCTGGAAAATAAGCTGAGCTGCGTTCCCCGCATGGTCAAGGTTTCTCTGCCTTTTTCACATCGATATTCTCAGCACATTCCCAAGGGGGGAAGCAGCCACAATGTCTGTGCATCATTCCAACTCCACTTCCTCCCAGCACTGCTCAGGAATGTGGGCCAGAGGCCAGACTCCCATGACCAGAGAGCATTGACAATATGTGATAGCATGAGGCAGTACACGCCTTGGACAAATGTACCACATGCTGGGCACATATTGAGCCCACGCTCAGCTGTGACAGCGAGTCAGTCCATAGTCAGACCAAACAATATTCCAGAGTTCAATGGCGCTCCAGCACCCTGCGGAGAACAGATGTAGTGGGGAGACTGGATGTTTTCCGGGGGTAACTATGTGTTACGGGTGACTGTGGGTGTTACGAGGGTAACTGTAGGTGTTACGGGGTGACTGGGTGTTATGGGGTGATTGTGAGTGTTATGGGGTTGCTTGTGGGTGGGTATTATTAGGTGATTGGGTTGTGTTATGTGTGTGTGTGTTATGTGAGGAGATGTTTCTTTAAATTAAAATTATCTCCGTTTTCTCTTCACAATACCAAAAAAGGTTGAGATCAAGTGGGTCTTCAGCCCATTTGACGTCAGTTTCCCTGCTTATGGTTGGAGTCTTTCAGTGCCTTGGGACATCCTCCTGACGTGAAAGGTGCTTTACAAATGTAATTTTTGAGCCATTGGGAGCAGGGGTTCTTCCCACCCGGTGAGCCAAAGCCCTAATTGGAGGGTGGGCCTAGCTGGACAAGCTCTATGATTAGGGTTAGGACATTTGCCAAAAAATCCCAACAGTATTAATAGGGATCTTCTAATCACATCTTCCCACTGCATAATCTCCAGAATGGCAATTACTGGATTCCTCACAGCAAGATATTAATCTTTGCATTTGATATAGTGCCTTAGATCCTTTTTCTGCAACCTAGTCCCCTCAGCACCCCAATCCCAAATAAGCAAGTGAAGATCCAAATGGTGCATGTGTTGGGGGTTTGAGGTCATCCCAACACGCAGTGAATGGAAACCTGGTAATGTGCTTCCCTCTCGTGGTGAAATTAGGCAGAACAGACAGGATTCCCAGTTCAACGAGGCTCACACAGGGAACCTCAAACTTTGTCCGAGTGACCCTCCGTAACCTAAGAAAAATAACAAATATGCCACCCCATAGTTTACTAAGACAACACGAGGAACTGAAAATCTTTTACTTTGTAAGAATACGTGTGATAAAGTAGAAGGGCTTTGTTCAATATAATTATGATAAGTTATGATAAGAGAGTGAGTGACCCCCATAAAATGTCAAGAGTAAAAATTTTATTTCGTACAGGACCTTTCATGTTATCTCATGATTCTGTTCAGGCTGATTCAGATCAGGGCCTGCCATTTGTCCGTAGCCCTGTCAATCAGTCTGTATATTTCCTCTCCTCCTTCACTGTTGTCGCAGTGTCAGGTTACTTAAATTTGTGACCCTGCAGTGAAGTAAGGACTGACACAAATTATTCAATCAATTGATATTTATTAATACAAATTAGTAAAGAAATGCATATCAAAGTTATACGTTTCATCAAATTAATGCTTATGACAGGTTGGTAAAGTTCACTGCAATGAGATGATCAGACCAATACAGTGGCTTTGATGAGGAATCAGCTTGTTAATCAATGCTGATTATAGTACATCCCTCTTTGCTCGAGATTAGTTGCGGTTTGGCACTCCATTCTCTCTTCTCCGATATAACCCCAAAAATCTCTGGTTCTTTATACCTTTTTGGTCACATATGCCAGTCTGTTCAACGTGTTGTTAGAAACACCAGCTGCGAACCAGAGACAACCGTTATCAAAATTCCAACAGCTTGTTTCAAACAAGTCTTTGTCTGCCCACGACGATGTTGAAGAAAACTTTGTTCCGTAAACACGCTTCCACTTCCCTTAGCCTTCATGTACCTGCATCCTTCCTGAAGCAAACTAGTCCATGAGTCTTCGCGATTTTCCTTTGGTCAACTCAAGCAACCCAGAACTCTGGGATTGCTGACAGTGGGGATTGTTGTGGCGGGAAATGTGGTCGGGTTTAGTTGTTGAGAACTCCCTTCTCTTTCTGAATAGTGCAACGGGATTTTTAACATTCAGCTGGTCTCTTCTGAAAGATGGCATCTCCGACAATGCAGTGCTCCCCCAGCACTGTACTGGTACACTGTGTGTCTAAAGTCCTGACGAGGAACTCGAACCCACAACCTCCTTACCATGAGATGAGAGTGCTACCAACTGACTTCATCAACAACAATATACAACAACAAAATTACATTTGTATAGCGCCTTTCAAAACACTCTTCACATAAACATCTCAGAGCTTCACAGAGATGGTGCCTGGCACACAGTGTGTGTGTGTGTGTGTGGAGGGGGGAAGTGGGGAGTCCCTGGGAACAGGTGAAATGGAGAGATCTTACTTTTTTTTAAAAAGACAGCTGGGAAAGGTGGTCAGGCTGGGCAGGGGATCACATTGTGAGATGGGGCTGGGGGTGGGGGAGGAGGGGTCAGACAGGGAGCTGGGGGCCGGGATGGGCTCTCTCCTCCAGATGATCGAATTGTCGGAGATGGAAGCGTGACTGGAGTTGAGAGGCCATCTCCCTGAGGGCGAGGAAACCCGTCATCAGCTCCCCCAGAAACAAGGCCAAGTAGATACTGTTTAACGCCTTCTCAACGGGCAGCACCAGGAGCTTTTCATACAGGCACAGATAGAGCACCGCGGGCACCTGGATGAGGCAGGTCAGCAGCCAGAACCCAGCTAACTCCGGCACCTTCTCCTGCAGGTTTCCCATGTAGCCCAGATACATCCTGATTAGCTCCACCAGACTCACAATCACCAGGATAGCGATCTGCACCATCTGGAAATATCCCATCAGCTGCCAGAACTTCAGATGTAGCATGATGACAGTGCAGGACCACCAGAACGGGAAGTACCAGAGGTTGAAGTAGAGGATAATCTGCAGGCCCAGGTTCGAAACCAGGTTATCGTCGGCCGGCGGCTTCCTCTGGCCGGCCTGGGCCCCGCGCCGGCCCTCCCGCAGGAAGACGGTCTGGCTGAGCTCGCTGAGGCGGCGGCGGATGGGCTCCGGCAACGGGGAGGCGGCGGCGGCGGACGCCATGACACCCCCGGAAAGCATTTGGGCGCAGGTTGGTAAGAGCCAAGGCTTAGGGGGTGGGGTGGGGAGTGGGGGGGGGTGGTGGGGGTGGGGGAGGGGTGGTGGGGGGGGGGAGGGGTGGTGGGGGAGGGTGGTGGGGAGTGTGGTGGGAGGGGTGGGTGGGGAGTGTGGGGAGTGTGGGGGGAGTGGTGGGGGGTGGTGGGGGTGGGGGGGGTGGTGGGGAGTGTGGTGGGAGGGGTGGGTGGGGGAGGGGTGGTGGGGGTGTGGTGGGGGGAGGGGTGGTGGGGAGTGGGGGGGTGGTGGGGGGTGGGGAGGGGTGGTGGGGGGGTGGGGGGGGGTGGGGGGAGGGGTGGTGGGGGGGGGGAGGGGTGTGGGGGTGGGGGGGGTAGTAGGGGTGGGGAGGGGTGGTGGGGTGGGGAGTGGTGGGGAGTGGGGGGGTGGTGGGGTGTGGGGGGAGGGGTGGTGGTGGGGGGAGGGTGGTGGGGGGTGGGGCAGGGTGGTGGGGGTGGGGCAGGGGTGGTGGGGGGTGGGGCAGGGGTGGTGGGGGGTGGGGGAGGGGTGGTGGGGGTGGGGCAGGGTGGTGGGGGTGGGGCAGGGGTGGTGGGGGGGGGGAGGGGTGGTGGGGGTGGGGCAGGGGTGGTGGGGTGGGGAGTGGTGGGGAGTGTGGGGGGAAGGGTGGGGGAGGGGTGGTATGGGGGTAACTGCTGGAGCCTAACCAGCTAAGACCACGTGTAGTTTGCCATCGGGAGCCCTTCCCGCCGCTTGTCCGCCCTCTACCCGTTAAGGCTGTGGGGTTGAAGGGCTCCTCTGTCCCGGGAGTCACCGTCGCTGCCCCTTCGGTGCCAACTACGTCACCACCTGAGAGCAAGCACGGCGTGTGCGTTGGCATGGGTGCGTGATGACGTACGCCGCACTGCCGATGTGCGTGGGGGCGCAGTGGGGGCGGCGGCGTGCGTGCGTGATTGCGTGCGTGCGTGCGTGCTGACGCAAGCGAGCGAGCGAGCGAGCGGAGCGGCGCGGGGTGAATGGAGCGCTGGAGGGTGAGTAACAACACAGCGAGTCCCAGAGGCCCTGTCAGCCCAGGCCCCGCGCCTTCGGCTCAGCCAACTCCCGCGCTCCCACAGCCCCCTCCCCGGCCACAGTCCTGCTCCCGGAGCGCCGCGCCGCTGCCTCTCTCTCTCTCTCAGGCCGGGCCCCGGGCTCCTCTCTCTCGGGCCTGGGGCTGCGCGCGTTTCCGAGGCCCGCGTGCGCGCTCCAGCTTCCCCCCCACCCTCCAGCCGGAACCCCACAGTCAGCCCACCCCCTCCGCCACCCACCAGCCTAACACCCCCCCCCCCCACACACACACACACACACCAGCCATGACCCCACACAACCAGCCCCCGCCCACCAGCCACACAACTTGTTCAGTGTGAATGAATGTGCCCTGAGGGGGGCGGTGTCAGTGTGGGTGATGTGCCCTGTGTGTGTGTGTGTGTGGGGGGGGGGGTTGTGGGCAGTGTGGGTGATGTGCCCTGTGTGTGTGTGTGTGTGGGGGGGGGGGGTTGTGGGCAGTGTGGGTGATGTGCCCTGTGTGTATGTGGTGGGGTGGGGGCAGTGTGGGTGATGTGCCCTGTGTGTGTGTGTGTGGTGGGGTGTGGGCAGTGTGGGTGATGTGCCCTGTGTGTATGTGTGTGTGGGGGGGGGGGCAGTGTGGGTGATGTGCCCTGTGTGTATGTGATGGGGTGTGGGCAGTGTGGGTGATGTGCCCTGTGTGTGTGTGTGTGTGTGTGGGGGGGGCAGTGTGGGTGATGTGCCCTGTGTGTATGTGATGGGGTGTGGGCAGTGTGGGTGATGTGCCCTGTGTATGTGTATGTGATGGGGGCAGTGTGGGTGATGTGCCCTCTGTGTATGTGTGGTGGGGTGTGGGCAGTGTGGGTGATGTGCCCTGTGGATGTGCCTGGGTGCGGGAGGCAATGTGGGTGATGTGCCCTGTGTGTGTGTATGTGATGGGGGCAGTGTGGGTGATGTGCCCTCTGTGTATGTGTGGTGGGGTGTGGGCAGTGTGGGTGATGTGCCCTGTGTGTTTGAATGATGTGCCCTGTGTGTGTGAGGGGGGGGGAGGAGGTGGCGGCAGTGTGAGTGATGTGCCTGGGGTGCGGGAGGCAATGTGGGTGATGTGCCCTGTGTGTGTGTGTGGTGGGGGGGATGGGAGTGTGGATGATGTGCTCTGTGTGTGTGTGTGTGTGTGGGGTGGGGGCAGTGTGGGTGATGCCCTGTGTGTTTGAATGATTTGCCCTGTGTGTGGGGTGGGGGGGAGGAGGCTGCGGCAATGTGAGTGATGTGCCCGGGGTGGATGGGGTAATGTGGGTGATGTGCTCTCTGTGTGTGTGGGTGGGTGCGTGGGGTGGGGGCAGTGTGGCTGATGTGTTTGTGTGTGTGGTGGAGGCAGTGTGAGTGATGTGCCCTGTGTGTGTGAGTGATGTGCCCTGTGTGTGTGTGTTGGGGGGTGGGGATGAGTTTGGGGGATGTGCCCTGTGTGAAGGGTGAAGAATGACGTGCCCTGTTTGGGGGTGGTGGGGGGGGTCAGTGTGGCTAATGTGTTGTGTGTGGGGGGACGTGCCCTGTGTGTTGCCATATTGCTACAAAGCCAGAATTCAACCTTGCAGAGTGGTGATTCAGGCCCTTTACAGTCCCAGGTCTATAGAAACAAGCGAATACTCCAACCTACATATATATATATATATATACTGTATATCAATTATCTTAGTAACCCATGTGCACAGGGCTAACTCAGGTGTGTATTTTGCCAGGAGTGTTTGAAAAGCAGGAATCACACAGCAATTTTGCATGTGTGCCGAGCTGTTTATAACTTTGATGTTACAGTCTTCTCTTTCATCTCATAGACACATTAAATATTACATAGGATTAGGGTAAGACAGACCCTTGTTGCCTTGAAAATGGCTCAGTTTGGAGGACAGAAGAATCCCCCATGGACCACACAGTTTTCAGCTTCGGTTACACAGCCAGGTCAGTGCGTCTTAAGCTGGTATGAATGTCCTCTTTGCGAAAAATCTTATGTGCTCAGTAGAACGAGGGAGACCTCTCTTTAATAGCCTGTTACTATTGCCTCCTCTGGATAGAATGTACATATTATGTTGATCTTTTGTGATCTTTTATTCAATTTCCAATGCTATTGAGCAGAAAAATCCTTCAATCATCCAGTTGTTGGCGGTTGATCCTGTAGTGTAACTCTCCCTCCCTGGGATGCAGACAGTCCTATGCCTGTATCTTGATGTCTGGGTGGTTTTCGTCTCCAGGCTGGCAACAACAACTTGCATTTATACAGTGCTTTTAATGTAGGGAGGACATCCCAAGGAGGTGGTCAGTCGAGGGTTGGATGGTGGGGCGGGCCAGGCGGGGGACGTGAAGAAGACTGGAGTGGACAGATCGATATGGTGTTAGCAGGTGACAGAGGTAGGAAGGAGCAAGGCCGTGGAGGGCTTTAACGGCGAAGTCGAGGATTTTTAACTCAATCCTCTGGGGGATGGGGAGCCAGTGGAGCCGGGCGAGTGTTGGGGTGATAAGGTCACGGACTGTGGTGTGGGAGAAGACATGAGCTGCAGAGTTCTCGATAATCTGCAGCTTGTGGAGGGAATAGTTGGGAAGGCCAACAGGCAGGGAGTTGGCGCAATCAAGTCTAGATGTAAGTTGTAGCGTTGTGTGAAGTTTTATTACATTCTTTAATCAAGATCCAAATTGGGACTTTTGAGTCACTGGAGCGTTGCATTATCAGAGGTGAATTATCATTATTATACCCAAAAGATTGCATTATCTTTTGGGTGAGACGATAAACTTAGGTCCTGTCTACCTACTTTCAGGTGTATGTTAAATGTGGCACCATTGGAAAGGAGAAAGAAGTTTTTCCTTGTATCCTGGCCAAAAATACTCTGGATAAATTAATCCCACTTGTGTGAAGCCTTGGTGGCACAAAAACAGCCCCTACACTTTATTATTATTATTATTAGACTATTAGACCATTCAGTGTGATAAGGCTCTGAAACTCAAAGTTCTTTGCTTCACCTGCCAACACAAGCACTCTCATATCCTCACTGTTTGTGCAAATTAATTCATATCCTCTTTCACTTTGGTCCATTTTGTTTAACAGCGATCAGTGTTTGAGCCAGGAAATTATCTGAACTGTTGCCCTGTTTATGTACAGGTACAGTTTCATATTAATAACATAGGGCTGCAATATTAAAGCTAGGAAATGCTGCTCCAGTTCTATAGAACCCTGGTTGGACCTCATTTGGAGTTTAATAGATTATACGCTGTGCACTCATTGGGACTGGCCCCATTGTGCAAATTAAAAAGTTGTTCCATAAGGAGTTATATCCTTCGTAGTGCTATACTGGGCCAGTTCTCTCTGTTTGACACTTTTTTTCTCTCTCTCTCTGTTTTGTGCCAATGCTGCTGACACCTTCATCCATTTGTTGATCACCTCCCACCTTGATTTCTCCTCCAGTGGCCTCCCCACCAGTCTCCTTAGCTCCTCCATTCACAAAGTCCAATTGATTCAACACTCTGTTGAGCCTATCCTCACCCGTACCAAACTCCACACCCTCAGAGTCTCTCTGTCCAAGTCGCTGTCTCTCATTTTGAGTCTCTCTAACTTTCTGTCTCTTTCTGACTGACTATATCTCCACAATTTGCGCAAGGTTAAAGACTTGCCCTCAGTAAACAGCAAAGACAATCTGAGGATACAGGGATGTGATCATTGTCGCCCCAGGTCCAAGCACACAACTTCATCCATATCCACAACACGTTTTTGTTTGTATCTCGCAGCTGGGCATCTACTTCATCATCAGAATAACATTTGTTGTTGGCTAGTGAGGTGACCTGTACAAACTCAGCTCGCATTGTTTGCATTTGAAGATGTTAGCATATGTGGTGGCTCTGTAAACCCCTGTGCAAAGAGGCTGGAATGTGAGTTTGTGCTTTCTTTTTTCATCAGCTACGATTGGGGTTCAGCCCTCTCTGCTTGGGGCATCGCCGGCAATGTACAGCCAGCAGTCAGCCCTGGCCGCAGCAGGCCTGAGCAGCCAAACGGCCACTGGCTACCAGCTGTCCCAGAATGCTGCCCTCCAGCAACAGGCAGCTGCTGCCGCCGCCATGCAGCAGGTAAGAGCATTGCTGACCATGCCGCTCTCTTCCTCTCGTTTTACTATAACCATGTGAGCCGAGCCTGCCTTCTGCCTCACACTTGAGTGGCGTGCCTGTTTGGGTGGCAAGTTTAGGAGTCAGTAGCGTAATGGTTAGCACCGCTCACCTTGCAAGAGAGAGGATCCGGGTTTGATTCCTGGGAGGGGTGAAAACTTAGGCAACTTTCCTTACTCCATATGCCTCTGTTTACCTAGACAAGCAACAGGAAAAGCTTGCCAGGCAGCAATATCAATGGCATGCTATGCTGTTTTAGCTGGTTCGATTCCAGCAGTAGCCCAATGCACACTCTGGGGTGGCCAAACCTTGGTTCTTGCCAACCTGCGCCTACTACTGTCCGGAATTAGGTAAGCAGGATGCGTCCTCCAGTGAGAGAGTGTGCAATTCATTTCAACAATCTGTCTCTGGGATTTTCATGTGTAGATGGGATGCATAGAATTCTTGGTTTGGATACTCTTAAGCACCGTGATGGGTTTTTTGCATGTGTCAGACACTCAGCTGACCAGAAAAAGGTTCCTGGATGTACTCTTATTCAGTTACTAGTTACTGTAAATGCAACAAGTTAGATATTATGCATAAATTTGCCACAGTTTCACATTCAGTATTTGTTTGTTTTTCCAGCAATATCAGCAGCCGCAACAGACCCTATACAGTGTGCAGCAGCAGGTATATACTCTGTACCTCTTTACCTAATCGGGGGGGTGGGGGTGGGGGGGAGAGATGTGTGATAACTATTGCCGGGGCACAGCTGCCAAAACTGTTGCTGCTGTGAGGGCAGAGATTCAGCTCTACAGAAACACTGGCTGTATTAAAATGAAGGTTACATATTAAAGTTAATAGGCCATGCAGAGCCAGGGTAATTGGCTTAGTGATGCTCAGTGAACATAGAATGCCACAGAAGGTCAGCTGTTTGCTTTGGGGAGAACCCAGAATCCATTCCCTAGATGCTTATCCTGGCGGGGGTGTGGATGGGGTGAGGGGTTGATACTTTGGTGGAGATCTGGCTTCAAGATAATGGAATATCAGAATCGAGTTGTTCTGCTGCGGTGGTCTGGCCAAGGCCTCTGGAACTCTGGTGTGTTCCAGAGTGGCTCAATGGTAGCAATCTCACCTCTGAGTCAAACGGTTGTGGGTTCAAGCCACACGTCAGAACCTGGAATCACACAGCCAAAGATGACACTCCATTGGTGTGTTGTATTGTCAGAGGTGCCTCCCTTCAAATGAGACATTAAACCGAGGTCCCGTCTGCCTGTTCAGATGGATGTTACAGACCCATGGCACTATTTGGTAAAGAGAAGGAAGTTCGTCCGCAAAATACACAGTCAATCCACTTTACAGTATAGCCTGTGAAGCGCTTTGAGACACTTTCATACAGCAATTTATAATATGCTATATCAAATGCAAGGATTATTATTGTTATGGAGAGAAGTACAGCATAGATTCATGAAGGTGATAGCGAAGATTATGGTTATGAGGAGAGGCTGGAGAGGTTCGGACTATCCATTGAAGCAGAGATAGGGTGATATGGTCAAGATGTTTAAGATACTAAAAGGGATTGAGAAAATAAATGATGAGGAGCTATTTTGGCTGGTCAGTGATTTAAAGACAAGAGGACAAGAATTTAACATTATAACTAGGAACAGGAAAGGTTAAAATACTCTCCCAGAAATATGAGAGTAGGGAATGAATTTCCTCACAGTGGTGGCTGTAGGTGCAGAGTGATTGAGACACACAGAGGAAGAGTATTTAGAGGATCTGTCGAGCTAACACTGAGCCTGGGTCAGATGGAGTAATGTGGAGATTTCTGTAGATTTGGTGCGGGAATTAACTCTTTCATGTACTTGTGTTTAGCTACAGCAGCCGCAGCAGGCCTTGCTTCCTCAGGTAGGTGCAGTGATTATTTTCATACATAAACACAGCGGCATCTAAGGCCACTCTTAGTCTCTTAGTCTCAACCTTTTAAGACCCTTTAGTCTCAAAATTATAGATCTTGCAGCATTCATAAAATCATAGAATATTACAGCACAGAAGGAGGTCATTCGGCCCATCACGCCTGTCCCGGCTCTTTGGAAGAACTACCAACTAGTTCCAATCTCCCGCTTTTTCCCCATATCCTTGCAATTTTGTTCTTTTTCAAGTACCTATCTAATTCCCTTTTGAAAGTTGTTATTGAATCTGGTTCCACCACGCTTTCAGGCAGTAATTATTGAGAATTCTTAAATTCAGTCTTAATTTGGTAGCTGGTTTCTTAAGCAACTGAATTTAAGAACTTTTGGCCTAAAATGACAAATAGCCATAGGGGTAAGGCCTGGAGTGTGGGGTAAGCTTTGAGCACTTTTACTGCTTCAGGGCAGGCACGGTTGCAAAGAACTCCAGGCTCTCTGGCAATACTTACTATCTCACAGCAGCCGGCTGCTGGTGCTGAGATACTGAGCATTGCAGTGTTTCCATGCACTTCACAAGTCTGGTATGTTTTTATCCTGGTGTTTTTCCCCAGACATTACCATGAAGCTGTGTATTATTTTCTATCTTGACATATTATCATCATTATTATTCTCTGAATGTTAATTGTGGCTGTGTTAGGTCAGCCTTCCTTAGATTCCTGATGTTTTGTGTCCCTGTGGTTTGTCACTGGCCCATTCATGCACTTTTCAAGACCAAGAACAACTAAGTAGAAATATGGTAACTGGATCATTATGTAGCATAACATTTTCTGTATAATGGATAGGGTGCTCCTAGCTTCGGGAAGCCTGTCAGGTAGTGCTCTCGATGGCAAACAATATGGATTTAGCTGGTTAAAATTCCATCAGTTACCACAACACAACTTCTAGGTTCCCCAAGCCTTGGCTCTTGCCAACCTGTGCCTAATACTCTCCAGAATTAGCTAAGCAAGATGCGTCCCTCCAGGGAGAGAGTGCACATTCCATTCTAGACACAGGAAAATCTCTATTTATGGGTGGCATACATGGAAATCTGGCTAGTTTGAATACCCTTAAGCACGGTGATGGGCTTCCATGTTTCAGACACCCGGCTGGCCAAAAATAATGTAATACAGTTGGGATGCAGAAGCAAGTGGAGTCTGGTGAGGGTGATTGCAGCCTAGTGTAGGAGAGGATATAGGCTGTGGAGTTGTGGGTGAGTTGGTGCTTGTGAAGGATCACACTAGGGAGGCTGGTGAGGAGAGCGTTTGAGAAGTCGGGTCACTCCACGTGTATACACACCGTTATTTTGTTTTGCTTTCTAGCCAGCCGTGGCTCTTCCCACAAGCATGAACGCCCCCCAGCCCGCTGCACAGATCACAGTCTCCTACCCTGCACCACGGAGCTCCCAGCAGCAAGCACAGCCACAGAAACAGCGCGTCTTCACGGGAGTTGTAACAAAGCTTCACGACACGTTTGGGTTTGTGGACGAGGATGTATTCTTCCAGCTCAGGTGGGTCCATTTTTAAAATTGGAAGGTGACACTCGCTGGATTTCTTGTCTTGCTTCCCAACTCTTCCCTCCACAAGCATTAGCCCATGCAAACTCCACAGCTCCTGCTCTCTCCAGCACCAACCCATCAACAACAAATGACATTTGTATAGCGCCTTTCATGTCAGGAGGACGTCCCAAGGCGCTGGACAGTCAGGAATCCACATCCGAGCTGTTGGGATCAGGAAGGGTAGAGGGCGGGGAAGGTAGGGGTAGAGGATGGCCAAAGGCATGGTCTTGAGTTGGGTCTTGATAGGAGGCGGGGAGGATGGTGGGAGAGAAGGATCGAACGGGAGTAGTGGAGGGTAGAGGACTGGGTGGGAGCATTTTTGGGTCGGTGGCGGCAACCCAAATGTGCATGCCGAGACTAAGAGCAGACGGGTTGTCAGCGTGGCATGGTCAGCTGGCTGGCATGGATCATGGGGAAGGACAGTGTAATAGTCCTAGTGAGTCCAAGCTTGGAGATCACTCCTTCCTTTACCTCCTTCAAGGTCCATCTCAAGACTTTCCTCTTTAACTGCACTTTGGTCATTTTCCTCCCCACCTGCCCCTCCGCCAATCAAACTCCCAATTTGAGTGCAAATCCTTGACCGTGCAGCAGCTTAGAAGATCCTCCCGACATGAAGAGTGCTGTGTAAATGCAGTTTGTTGTTGTTGACTCGTGTCTGAGATTGTACACAGAACCCCGGGAACACCACTCCTCAGTCGGTCTGAGGCACTTTCTGTTATTTCAGCCACCTCTCTATCCATGAGGCCACATGTCTTTAATTCCATGTGCTGTAACCTTTGCCCAAAGCCTCTTTGGTGGATCCTCATCATTCTTTTGTTGAAGCTGAGTAGAAACCACACCAGCCTGTGTTCTTTGTCCTGTGTTTAATCAGGGAATCTCTGAGGCTGGTCGCTGACTGGCCCCCAATTGGCTCATGTTCCTCTGAGGGCAGAAATCTCTTCCTCCTGTTAAAGACTACAAGTGAGCAATAGGTGACATCAGACTGACCGGCCTGCAGTCTCCTGGAGGGCTGTGTTCAAGAAGGGTCACATTTACCACCTGCCAGTCCTCAACCACAATTTTCTCTGATATTTCTTCCTGAATTTCCCTTGAGATCCTCACATATTAAACCATTAGGAGCCGGTGATTTGTTGATTTTAAGTTTGAGTAATTCTTTGGACCAATTCTTCTTGAATAATGACTTGCACTAAGTGTTCTGCACCCACCTTGTGACTGATTCCTGTCCCCATTTCCACTGTGTCTTTACCCACTAGGCCACCAGGGGAACTGTTGTCTAGTTTCTAGTACAGCCCACAATGGAGAGCAATGAGTTTTGCTTTCAGTACCTCTAGGCTGATGTATTGTTGTAAAATATCTGTTAATTATTTATGAGTGTATTTGGGCATCCCTCCTTCACTGTATGTGTACCTTTGTATGTTCAGCCTGGCTCAGTCAGTCATACTCTCGTCTCTCAGTCAAAAGATTCTGGGTTCAATCCCCTGATCAGAACCTTGAGCTGACGCTCCAGTGCAACGCTGGGGGAGTGCTGCATTGTCCTTCGGATGTGACACTGTACTCGGGTCCCGTCTGCGCCTGTTTAGGTGGACATGCAAGAGTCCATGACCCCATTTGAAAAGAAAGGAGAGTTTTTGCCAAGTGTCCTGGCCAACAATCTCCCAGCTAAAATCAGTCACTCACTCCAAGGCTGTTTGTGGGACATTGCTATGCTCATACTGGCTGCTGGGTTTCGCCCACAAAGTAAACTGTAACTACACTTTACAGTAAATCCTGTGAAGTGCTTTGGGACATCCTTCCAATGTGAAAAATGCAATATGAAATTAAGGCTTATTTGTATTATTACATCTTTGTTCCTTTCACAAACCCTGGGCTGCTGATCATGATACGTTCCTGAGTGGTGTTTGTGTGTTTCCTTGTGTGTTTTTCCTTTGTGCTGCTGGCTGTCAGAAGGCTAACTGTCTACTGCTTTGTGAAGTGATAGATGCCTGTTCAATGTTCCTCACAAGTTTATTCTTCAGCTTAATAAACCACTTATTAAAAATGTACAACACGGGAATGCTAACACAAAGCATTATTTTAGAAAAACAGCAGCCGGGAGCTAATTCAGTAATTTTCTTTGTTGGTTAATTAGAATGACATGTTCTGTGGTCAGGCCTCTCTTTGTCCCACCACTGTTCTTTAACTTGAATAACATCTCATTGAAGCTTTTATGATACTTTGTCACTCATCACCTCCATAAAACTTGAGGTCCATATTTCTCATTTGAATTGCCTCTCCCCTCTGTTACCTCTTGCCCAGCTGCTCCCTTCACTAAGCAAACACCAGCCTGCTTCATGTCCTCTGCCTGATCCATCCCATCATCAGTCCACAAGCTTCAGCCATTATGTCCCTGCTCTCTGGAACTCCATTCCAGATCTCTTCCATCTGGGTTTATGTTATTAAGAGACATCCTCCTGATGTGAAAGGCACTATATAAATGTAAATTGTATCATAGATCTGAGGACAGTTAGTGCTGGCGAGTTAAATATCTTTTCCATTTTATCTCTGTGTGTCAGGATTAAGCTCTCTGGTCAGTCAGAACACCAGCCAAACGCTCGCGAAACTCTGCACACGCGGGCTTTGCAGAGAGAGTGGAGCCAGTGATGTACTGGAGGGACTGTCTCCACTGGGAGCTGGGATAACATAGAATAGCAGGGCCACTAGTCAGCAGAGACTCAACACATCAACTGCTGGGGACGATTCACACCCAGGGCACGTGCCATCTGGTGACCAACTGTGACTCTAATAGTCCTGCTTCCTTCCTCAGTTCTGCTTTTATCTTGTTTAGTCATCATTTTGATTGAAGCTTCTCTGAGGGTTCTCAATCTCAGCAGAGCACAGGTGCAAGCACACGCTACTCTTCCCCCCCACCCACACACAATGTAATAGCCAGAAAATTACCTCCAGAATCATCTTTCAGTTGGGCCTTTCATTGAGTATTTTGTTCACAGCCAAAGTATAGTCAGTGAGCGCAGCAATCCTACTGACCTTAAACTGGGCTGTGCTTTACTCCGAGCCCTTTACAGTGGTGTTGGGAATTCTATTAACTGGCGGTGTCTTGTGTCCACACCAGTGCTGTGAAAGGCAAAGCCCCGCAGGTGGGAGACCGGGTATTGGTGGAGGCCACCTACAATCCTAACATGCCCTTCAAGTGGAATGCACAGCGGATTCAGACGCTACCAAATCAGGTACGCTCGGAAAAAGGAAGCGCGCTGCTTGTAATGGTTTCAACAACAATAACAACAAATTACATTTACATGGCGTCTTTCACTTTGGGAGGACATCCCAAGGCACTGGACAGTTCAGGGTTGGCACCGAACTAGGGGTTGGAATCAATAGGGTTGGAGGGTAGGGGGAATGGGGATGGGAGTGTGGACAAAGGCACGGTCAAAGAGGAAGGTCTTGAGAAGGGCCTTGAGAGAGGTGGAGGTATTTGGGGGTGGAATTCCAGAGATTGGGGGGGCAGAGAGGCTTAAGGCCTGTCTGCCGATTATGAAGCGGGCAGTGTGGGGGAACATGGAGCAGGCCAGTGCCTGTTGACTGGGGAAGCAGACAGGTTGGTATGGGGTTACGAGGTCACAGAGGTAGGGAGGAGCACGACCTTGGAGGACTTTAAAAGTCGCAGTATGAGGTGAAACGATCCTAAAGTGGCTTTATCCACAAGTATATGTCTCCTGACCGCTGGCCAGAGGGCGACCCCCTATTGCGGTGTCCATTATACATTGCTACACATAGGAGCTTAAACAAGGGACTGCTGTAAGGCTTTTTTCTGCCCCTTCTGCAGCTTTATAATCTTTCAGCTCCAGCTCCTACAGGTCTCTCCCATTGAATTCCGTTCCCGCCAGGCTCTCAATGGCTTCCAATGCTCCAGGGAATTGACCTCCAGATGCTCGTCCTGAGCTTTCCTATTCTTGCCTCATCTCTAACTCTGCAATCTTAATCTCCTCCAGTCCCGTTCTCCTTCTCGTACCTTCCACACATCCAAATCCAACTCTGTTCGTTTCTCACCCCCTCCATCCCACCATCTGTGTCTGAGCTTTCACACACTGAATCTCGACTGGCTGAAACTTGCTTCCAAAATTCCTTGCCTTGTATCCTTTCCTGATCTTCATAACCCTCCTAAAACCCTACATCTCTTACCCTACCTTCAGTTGAAATTCTCAACTCTCCCTCTTTTTTCCACCGTTCAATGCTCTGCTATCTTTGTAAAGCTACCCGTGACTCTATCCCAGGTGAAAGGTGGTCATTGTGGTTCTAAATGAAAAGGCGAAGGGCTCAACCACTCTGTTTAATCTCCCAGAGCCAGAGCCAGCCACTTTTCAAGACGCCTCCAACTATTCTCCAACCTCTTCCACAGCAATCTCCTTATTGTGTGCAGCCGCAGCCCCAGGGGCTCTTACAGGCACCAATCTCGTCCCCGCTCGCTCCGTTAATGCCAGCACAGCCACAACCGTTACTGCAGCCTCCACAGCAGAAACGTAAGTCACGTTCCGCCTTGAACTCTGCCGTCTCCAATCTGTCGCGACTCATTGACTGCATTGGTCATTTGAGGCTTACACGTACGTTTGTGAGAGACTTGTCTTCACCATTCTGCGGTTGTGATGTAATAACGGACTATTGGTTGGCTGTTCAGTAACAAGAGGGCACATTTAAAATAGTTATTTTGTGGCTGAAAGGGGAGGTTAGAAAACAATCTTTACTGAGAGAGTTGTCAGAATGTGATGTTCGCTGCTACAAACAGTAAGTGAAGCAGGGTCCCTCAGTTCATTTAAGGGAATTAAATAGTAGCTTAGGAGGAGGAATATCAAAGTCTATTTGTGTTCGTGGAGGGAGCGAGCAGGAGAGTGGGATTAGACCTGGTGGCACATACTATACAAATTCAGATTTATATAGTGCCTTTCACGTCGAGTTGAGGGGGAAAAAGATTGTCAAAAGTAAGGTCAAAGAGGAGGGATGTGAAGGAGAACTTGAAGGAGGCAAGGAAAGAAGAAGGGACTCTGGGTTGGAGTTCTAGAGAGTGAAGGGATTTAAAGGTGAGAACTGGGAAGGGGAGCCGAGTGAGGATGAGAGTAATAACCGAGTGCAGGAAAGGACACAAGCTGCAGAGTTCTGGATAGTCTGCAGCTTGCGGAGGGATGGCAGAAAATGAGCAGCAGATTTAATGGTCCAATAAATTGTATGATTTGTCATTGTAAAATATAGTGTGCAATCTGCTGAATAAGTCCTGTAGCGTATTGGTTAGATCACTCGCCTTGCAAGCAAGAGGATACAGGTTCAATTCCTGGGTGGGGCGAAACTTTAGGCAAGTTTCCTTACTCCTCACACCTCCACACCTAGCAGTAAGTAGATGTCTCAAAGCAGAATATACTGTAATGTAAATCGACTGTAATCTGGGCGAGTTGGTGTTGGTCGTGGAGTCCTGTAGTTCAGTGGTTGGAGCACTCGCTTTGCAAGCGAGAGACCTGAGTTCAATTCCAGGCAGAGGGCGAAACCTTGGGCAAGTTTCCTTACTCCATACAGAGCCTAATAATAATCCCTCCAAAACCAATAATAAATTGGTCATTTTCAATCTACGACTGTTTGTGGGACATTGCTGTGCGCAATTGGCTGCCGCGTTCGTCCACAAATATACAGTCAATTCACTTTACAGTGTGTTCTGTGAAGCGCTTTGGGACGTCCTCCCGACGTGAAAAGCGCCATATCAAATGCAAGGATTATTATTATTATAATTACAGTGATTTGGTTAGACTTAAGTACGAGTGCAGCTACCGTCAAGGACAAGCACTATGGGCCTCTTTATGTCCCGTGAGCATTCAATTAAAAAGCCCTTACAGTGAAAACTACCGAAAACTAACCACAAAAAACACCAAATGGTGTACAGAAAAGTAAACCTTGGAAGCACCAAGCTCGGACTTAGCCTATAGATTGGAGTGAGGGAGGGGAGGAGGGGGCTGTTGAAGCTCTGAGAAAGGAGGAATGGTCTGGACATGAGTAATATTTGATCAGTATCGGCGGGTGTCTAATGCTGGACGTTTCTTGTCGCAGCCGGTTTATTGCAGCCTCCGGTTCGAGTGCTCCCCCAGCCCCAGTCCGTGCGGAGGATTGAGCCACCGGCCAGATTCCTGCCCAGGAACGAGAGGGTGGATATCGTGTTAAATAGGAAAGATGATCGGAGGTACTGTGCCAAATAGTGCATGCACAAGTCACCTGTGCCTTAACTACAACATTTTGTGTGCACTGGAGCCTCAATTCCTCATCACACTCTTCTTCAAATCCCTTTGTGCCCTGGGCACCTTCCTACCTTTCCGACCTGCTTACTCCTCAACCCACTATCCGCCCCCAGGCTCGACTGGCTTCGGCCTCCTGCATGTCCTTTGTGCCCTCTATTTCACTATCAGTGGCTGCGCTTTCAGCCACTATGCTCTATCCCTCTGCATTGCCCATCGTCAGGTAGCGCCTGAAGATCTTTCTCTTCGACTGTGCTACGGTCACCTTCCCCTGGCTCGCAGAAAGCCTTGCCTGATTCAGGTGCCGTGGAGCTTTGAAGCGGGTTATCCTAAGGTTGGTTTGTTCTGAGTTCGGTAACTGCCATTTGTTTCTCTCTCCCTGGCTTTGCCATATTCCAGTCGTGAGAGAGATCGGGATCGCAGACGGTCCCGAGAGAGGTCACCACAACGTAAGCGATCCCGGGAACGTTCACCCCGGAGGGACAGAGAACGATCGCCGCGGAGAGCGAGACGCGCTGTTCCTCGCTACACTGTGCAGTTCTCCAAGTTTTCACTGGATTGGTGCGTGTGCTGCCCTGGCTTTCTCATTATCTTACGTGCGTAGGGCCTGCAAATGCTCTGGACATTGCAATAAAATCCTGTGAAGCCTTTTGAGACCATTGTGGGTAAAACAAAGTTAAATGTTGTAATTGCCCTAACTTGAATCATTTGGATTATACTTGAAGTGGAAAGTAAGCTTTGTTTTGACCGGTAGTGTGGGATATCTGGGTAACGCTTTGAGTTTAAAACCTCAGTGGCCTGTATTAATTTCCCTCTGTTTGTAATGCAGTGGATCCTGTGACATGATGGAGCTACGCCGTCGATACCAGAACCTTTACATCCCAAGTGATTTCTTTGACACCCAGTTCACGTGGGTGGATGCATTTCCTCTCTCGAGGCCTTTCCAGCTTGGGAACCAATGCAGTTTTCATATCGTGCACAAAGAGGTAGATCCTCTGGATAAGATTCCAATAGCGCTTGATCCCCCGGATGCAGATCATCTGTACAGTGCAAAGGTTTGTTCCTCTTTAGAGGATTGATCATTCTTTACTCACATTCTCATATTCCTGTTTGAAAAAGCAATTCTGTTTTCCTCAGCCTCTCCTGAGCATCAGTGGATAGTAGTGAATTCCAGTGTGATTCTTCACATGTGAGCTCCAGAGAAAGAGGAGGCCATTCGACCCACTGGGCGCGAGTTTTCTATGCGTGTGTGTGTGCAAACGCCACTACCTCTTATTTTTTAATTGTCCTTTTATTCATCACAGTTTTATAGCTTATTCACCTACAATATACACAGTCACTACATTTTAAAATAAATACAACAAATTTACATTTATATACTGTCTTTCATGTTGGGAGGGCTTCCCACGGTGCTGAAATCTTGTGAAACACTTTGAGACACCCTCCTGATATGAAAGGTACTGTACTTAATGCAAGAAGTATTATTTATTTCCCTTCCCTACTTTAAATGTTTCTACTTCTTGCAAAGATAATCTCATTTAGTTTTTCTTTGTACAAACATTTCCCGATTGTATTACTATGCCAGTTTAACCTCTGCTCAGAAATCAGTGCCAAAGCAGCCATTCTCTGTTTCCATTTCGCTATTTACAAACGTCCCCTTAAATGAACTCCTTGTTCAGAGTAAAGGAAATGTTGCTAAAAGCCCAGTGTGGAAAAGGACCATCTGAACCCGTAGAGAATGCAGATTGTGTACCAGACAGTATGTGTGAAGAGAAGCCAGAGAACTCGGGTGTCAGCCTGGCTCAGTTGATAGCATTCTGAGTCAGAATTTGTAGGTTTAAGCCCCATGACAAGCTCACAATCTAGGCTGACACTACAGTGCAGTGCTGCGGGAGCGCTGTATTGTCAGAGGTGCCGTCCTTCAGATAAAACGTTAAACTGAGATCCTGTCTTCACCCGTTCAGGTGGAGATTAAAGATCCCATAGCACAAATGAAAAGGAACTTTCCCAGTGCCCTGGCCAACAATCCCCAGATTGGTCATCACTGTTTACGGGACATTGCTGCGTGCAAATTGGCTGCTGCGTTCACCTAAAAATAGTCATAAAACTTTTTGAGACATCCTTATGAAATGAAAGACACTATATCAATTGCAATGATTATTATTAGGAGTTTGAGAGGGGGTAAGATGTAAGCGTTTAAAATTTTGATGAATAAAAAAAATTTCCTTCAGCTGGTGTTGACAAATGGCCATGGTCTCAGCTTTCTTATTAGAAGCATCTGCAGAGATTAGAAGGAAATTCTTCACTCAGAGGGTTGTCAGTCTATACTTCATTATTCCAATAAATACAAGTGGCTGTTGATTAAAGAATCAGTCAAAAGGATAAGCAGCTGAGCAGTAAAAATGTTAAGGGAAAGTGTGATTAGTGAAGAGGAGAATTTTAAAAAGCAAAGAGCAGTGGCACGCACATGATGGGACAAATGGTCTCCACCTGTCCTGAAGGTTGGGTGAGTTATAATGCAACAAAACAAATTAACATTTATACAGTGCCTTTCACGTCAGGAGGACGTGTCAAGGCGCTTAACAACTACTAAGCTTGGGTAGGAACTGAGGGGGTTGGGGATGGTAGAGACGACCAAAAGTGTAGTCGAAGTATGGAATGGCTTGAGACTGACCTTGGACGAGGTGAGAGAGGGAGGGAGTCAGAAGGACTCTGGGATGGAATTCCAGAAAATTGGGGCAAATGGGCTGAAAGGCTGCTCAGTAGTGGTGGGGTGGGCAGGGCACACGAAGCAGGCTGTGCCGGCCGGATCGGTACTGTTTGAGGAGGCTCACAGAGGGAGGATGAGGCACGACCATGGTGGGATTTAAAAGTGAGAATGGGGATCTTGAACTTGATCCACTGGGGGATGGGGAACCTGTGAAGCTGAATGAAGATGGTAGTAATAGACTTGTGGAGCACTTTCAAGGAGCTGAAGTCTGCTCTTAATTCCCACAGGTCATGCTCTTGGCAAGCCCCGGGATGGATGAGCTCTTCCACAAGTCATGCGCTCTAGCTGAGGACACCCAGGAGATTCGGGAAGGCTTCCAGCATCCTGCACGTCTCGTTAAGGTACAGAGAATTCCGGTACCTCCGGCCGGAAAGCGGGATTTCAGAATTCCAAAAATTTTCAGCTACAGGAGATCTGTGCACTCCAAGGTGTATGTTTATGTCGCAATGAGTCTTAGTGATCACATTTGTCTTCCCTCCCTGGTTTCCTGCCTTTTCTCCACATGCCAAGGGAGCTCTGGCTGTGCCTCTCTGAAGATCAGTACATGGGCTCTGAGGCCCCTCCATGGCCAGGGTGTGAACAAGCTCACACTTGCTGTTCTCAGCCTGTCCTGAGAGCAGGAAGTGATACCAGACATTGGTGACATTACAGAACATGCAAGAGTCTGGGCAGTTGAGGGTTCCCCATTGAGGTGCTGAGTCTGAAGGACAGCTCATGAAATGGGTAATGATGTCTAATCCTATTCCATTGCTGAAAGCCCAATGTGGAAAAAGACCAGCTGAACCCATTAGAGAGGCACCATTAATGGTGGCAGTGTACAATAAGGTACTGCGGTGTTAAGATAACCTTCCACCTCCTTGGTTTGGATATTGGGAACAATTTAGTGAATTAGCCATTTGTTCAATGTTTACTTCGGTCAAATGGACTTAAGTGGACGAGTAACTAAAACCTTCCAAAGGCTGGTACCGCTCTGATCAGCAGTGAAGCCACCATCACAAGCCAAAGATCCGGTGCTGCTTGGATCCCAGTTCAGAACCGCGTTGAGGGTGGGGAGGTCTACAATAACATAGACAGTACAGTTAAACTCACAGAAGTTGTATCATTCGGGAACATAACATTTAATATGATTTACGCAAAGTCCAAGTTTCAGGTAAACTCTAAGTCGTATAAAATCCGATTTAATCAATAATCTACACTGCACATGCATAATTCACTGCAACCGGTAAGTATGCATACGGTGACAGGTCAAGACTACATTTCCTGCGATTCGATGCGTCTTGACCTGTGCATTTACCGGCAAGCATTAGAATCGTGGGAAACAAAGTTCTGCATATTTGTTGACAGGTCAGGTCATCATTTCCTTTGATTTAGGAGGTGATTAATACGACTAGTGCAAAGAATGTTTTTGATAGGAAACTGAATGGGACTTGGGTGAATATACAACTCAGGCAATTATACGATTTGTAAGATTTACGTGAGTTTTACTGTATTATGTCTCTGTTAATGCAATGCTCTCTCTCAACCCCCCCCCCATAGCCACTTAATCCCATTCCCTCCCTCTTTGTCCATTGTGCCTGTGCTCGCTCCCCACTAACTTTCTTTTGAAGCAATCAGCTGCAATACTTTATCGGCATTGATGAAGGTAGGAAGGTGTAAAGTGAAGGAGCCAGATTGCCGCAGTGGGTGTAAAGGAATTGTCTGATTTTGCAGTTCTTGGTTGGAATGAAAGGCAAAGACGAAGCTATGGCCATCGGAGGACACTGGTCTCCCTCGCTGGACGGCCTGAACCCAGAACAGGAGCCCTCGGTGCTGATCAGGACCGCTATTCGCTGTTGTAAGACCCTGACAGGCATTGACTTGAGTGGTTGCACACAGTGGTAAGTAGCGCACCTACAGTGGAGCACAACTCCCCATTTAGTGCTATGTGATTTACATCTGATCTGTGCCTTTAACCTCTTGAGACCTTTTCTTTGCCCAGCCATCCCGCTATGTTCCAGGTAAAATAGCCCGAATTCGTCTGTTAGTTCTGCACTTAACACATCAGTTCTGTGGCAGTGCATGCCTCATAGCCTCGGATGTCATTTATATGCCTGGCGTTGGAGACATTAGAAATATCTTAGATCCTAAACTGACTGTATTTTAGTATATTTGTTAGGCTTGCTGAACCAGTGTAAGTGTGTACACTTTATACCTGCTCTGTTATATGTGACTGTGCCTGTGAAGAAACCCGCTCGTGAGGAGGATGACATCACCGGGTTGAATATTAATGCGCTCATTGCTGCAGAATTGTTTCCCATCTTTTGATAAAACGTTAATGATGCCAACGCAACTCTTCTGAACTGTACAGTCTGTGTCATTTAACTGCAAAGGCTCCCAGTTGCCACTTTCATATGGAAAAGTTTTGCGGACGATTCAGTCCTACGCTCAGTGGAACAGTCTGTGCAGCCTTGCCACTGTCCGCCCATGCTCTGTCCCTTCCTTTACTGGCTCTGGTGTAATGAGATTTCTGTTGAGATGGAATGTGTGCTCCAGTAGTGAGCTCTGGCCAGGTGCTGTGCCTCAATCCGGATGTGAAGTCAGCGGTGCAGATGGTCAATACAGCCGGCCGGTACAGTTGCAGTTAAGTGACGTGAACTGTGTGTTTGTTTGTGTGTGTGTGCACCCAGTTTCTCTAGCTTGATATCCTGCGAGTCATTTAGGGTCTATGCGATGTCTGATAGAATTTTCCTTTCCAATACACTTCTTCCCTTGCAACAGGTACCGTTTTGCAGAGATCCGCTACCATCGCCCTGAGGAGCACCACAAGGGGCGGACGGTTCCAGCCCATGTGGAGACAGTGGTTATATTTCTGCCGGATGTTTGGCATTGCCTTCCCACCCGCTCAGAGTGGGAAGCTCTCTCCCGCGGATACAAGCAGCAGTTGGTTGAGAAGCTCCAGTCTGAACGCAAGGAGGCTGATGGAGAACAGGCACTGAACGCTAATCCTTTTCCATTTCCGCTTCTCACAGGGACACAGGCACACCACATATACACCACCACCACACCCTGCTCTCTCCATGAGCGTCTCACACATTGAGAGGACACGATGCAAAACTACAGTAACTGGTAGTACAGCTTCCAGCGGGCAACACGACTCGTTTTGCTTTAGCAGCTTCTGAAATTTGTCAACCTTTTCTGTACTTCACGTGGAATGAGTCAATGCAAAACTCCACAAGTTGATCCAAACGTTAAGCGTACTTGCAAAACTTACCTGAGAAATGAGATGCTGGAAGCTCGGGGCCAGTTGTTGAGTTGCGCAGATCTTTACTAGCTGTTTGCAGAAGCTTCCTCTACCTTCCAAATTTTCCATACTCCCCTCTTTCTCTCTTTGTCTTTTACCTCCAAATATGTTACTGTTATCTACACAAGGATTGGATACACACAGACACTGAGGTATTTGATTTGCAGGTCAGTTGACTGAAGCGACACTGAAGTACAGTGTGGGGGTGTGAACAGACAATTAGGGGTCCTGGGGGGCTGGTGCTGGCTAGAGGGGGTGAGGATACACACTGTGCAGCCCCCAAAGAGCAGCAGAGTCTGTACGTCCCCAGCGACCATCGTTTGATGCCATTGATCACCCTTTTGTGTTCCACAGATCTGGCTTGATTGGCTGATGAGTGGCATGTGATCAGTTAAATTGAGTTATGTAGCTGTGGACTGATCTATTGAGTAGCGTAAAAGGAGGAGGCAATCTGAGAGGCGCTTTACGAGCTTGCTACTTACACGGATCAGCAGCTCGGGTTTCAGAATGAGAGTATACATCCCCCCCGGCGTTCCTGCACCTTCCGCTGATTATTTCTGTTCACTTTCTACCTCGGCAGGAGGAGGAAGAGAAGGACGATGGGGAGAGCAAAGAGATCTCCACTCCCACTCACTGGTCAAAGCTGGATCCAAAGACAATGAAAGTAGGTGGTTCCTGTAAAACCGGGCCTGGGAGTCACACTGTTGTTTGAAGAGTGTGTTTATGGTGGTGGGGGGGGTAAGGGAAGTAGGGGTTCTTATCTTAACTCATTCAGGAAAAAAGGGATACTTTTGTATGTTTCGTCCTACTGAATACACAGTCACTCACTTTACAGTAAATTCTGTGAAGCGCTTTGAGGCATCCTGCAGTGAAAGGCGTTGCCTCAAACACTATTATTATACAACCATAGAACGTTACAGCACAGAAGAAGGCAATTTGGCCCATTGTGTCTGCTGCTCTCTGAAAGATTAATCCATTCAGTCCCATTTTCCTGCTCATTTCCTGTAGCCCAGAATCACTCATTTTTTAGATATTATCTACATAGAATGATATAGAATACATAGAAAGTATACAGCACAGAAAAGGGCCATTCGCTCCAACTACAACAACAACAAGATTACATTTGCATAGCACCTTTCACGTCGGGAGGACCTGAAGTCCTTCCTTAGTCCTTCCCTCTGGGAATCATTTCTCCCCGTCGACTGTCAAACCTCTCATCATTCACTGAACTCGATCAAGTCTCCCCTCAATCGTCTCTGTTTCATTGAAAATGGGCCCAGTTCCTCTGGTCTCTGCTCATAGATCAAACCACTTTTCTCTCTCTCTGGCCCTGACATCCTTCCGACAGTGGGATCACCAAAACTGGCCAGAACACTCTAACTGTGGTCGTAACTAATGATTTGTACATTTAAGCATGACAATGGCTTCATATTCTGTGCTCCTATTTATAAAACCTGGGATCCAGTGTGCTGACCAACAATCCTCTAGATTAGTCAGTCCTTTGAGTAATAGCAATTTGTGTGAATTTGCAAAATAACTGCTGCAAAAACAAGTAATTAATTACAGGTACGTTAATTACTGTGAAGAACTTTGAGAAGTTTTGACATTACGTGTATTTATAAAAGTCTTTGTTGATCTGCCTGTTGTGCTGTGAATGGTCCACAGCACTGGCAGGCAGGGTCAGTTTGGAGTGATTGTGTTGAAACTGAGGGAACATTCCTGTTTTGTCAGGTCAATGATCTTCGGAAGGAACTGGAGAGCAGAAATCAGAGCTCGAAGGGGCTGAAATCCCAGCTGATCGCCAGGCTGACCAAGCAAGTCAAGCTGGAAGCAGAGAAAGAAGAACAGAAGGAGTCAGAGAAATCCGAGCGCGAGGACGAGGAGGAGGAAGATAAACGGTCTGATGATGACAAAGAGGTAGGACAGCCAACGTTACAGAGAAGACATTAAATAAAGGCGGATATTTTAGTAATTAAGATAGCTCCCCCACTGGAGCTCTCTTCTCTAATCCCATTCCCTGCTCTCTCTCCCCCCCCCCATTGTGTCTGTTCTGGTGTTCACTCCCCGACTGGAGCTCTCTTCTTTAATCCCATTCCCTGCTCTGTGCCTATCGTGTCTGTGCTGAAGCTCTCTGCTCTAACACTATTCCCTGCTCTCTTCCCATACCCTTTTATGTACTGCATTATTCAAATGTTCACCAGTTCCCATTTGAACATTGCGGTTCCCTCCTCTACAGCCCAGGCTGTAAGCAATGTGGCTGTTTCGCTGCCGGTTATGTACGTTGCTGGTGACGCGAGAGGGATTTATGTGGTGAATTCTGTCACCTTTACAGGAAGAGGAGCGAAAGCGCCAGGACGAAGCTGAGCGGCAGCGCCGCGAGAGACGCTATGTGCTGCCTGATGAGCCCGCCATCATTGTACATCCCAACTGGACGGCCAAAGGGGGCAAGTTCGACTGCAGCATCATGTCGCTGAGTGTTCTCCTCGACTATCGACTGGAGGACAATAAGGAGCATTCCTTTGAGGTAAACAGACTGCAGATGTTAAACCGAGTTCCCACCTGCCTGTTCAAGTGAATGTTAAAGATCTTGTAGCACTATTCAAAACGAGAAGGGAGTTTCTCTCTCCCGGTGTCCTGTCCAACAGTTTAAAAAAAAGTACTTTGAGACATCTCAATGACCAATAAGATGCTGTATCAAATGCAAGGATTATTATCATTGTTTTATTATAAACTGCAGTTTCACCACTGCCCCTTTACAGCCAAACCTGTTCTTCCCTGCTATTTTACAGTAAGTGAACCTTTGCCTGAATAGTCCTCTGCCTATGTTGCTAACCTTTGGCATAAAATGCAATTGTTTTTGTTTCATCTTCCGGATATTTTATTTAACAATCAAGTCATTGGTGTCAGTTCCTGGATGTGTTGGTGATTTGCTCTTTGCATGCAACAAGAGTTTCTTTGAAGTTATGACCTGTCTTTCCCTGCGTGTGTGTGTGTGTGTGTGTGGTGTGTGCATGTCTGTTTTCTAGGTCTCCTTGTTTGCTGAGCTCTTCAATGAAATGCTCCAAAGGGACTTTGGCTATCGAATCTACAAAGCCCTGAATTCTCTGCCTGAGAGGGACGACAAAAAGGAGAAGGAGAAAAAAGAGCGGAAGGAAGAGAAGAAGGAAGGTGAGAAGAAAGAGAAAAAAGAGGAGAAAGATGAAGAGAACAACGAGCCCAAGGCCAAGCGGAGAAAATCGGGAGATGAGAAAGATAAAAAAGAAGAAAAAGATGGTCGTAAGGTATGAGTTACTGTGTGTCGTGTCCCAGTAAGGTGACTGCCCCTGCCCGGTATGCAGAGGACTGAGAATTACTTGAGAAGCAGGTGGATAGTTTAATGGGAAGACAGTAGTGTTGGGATTCTGAAAGGATGAATTTGAATAGACCAAAGAACGTTCTTCATTTGAATCCCACTTGTAAATGAGGGAGCGCTGTCTTTTTCCCCAGTATAGTAATGGCTGGCCTTGCCCAGTTACTAATCGCAAACCTGATGTTTATCCTGTCATGTGGTCTGTGTTGAATGTGGCAAAACAGCCTGTGTACTGGGTGGGTAAGCAACTGACGTGGTTCTTGTTTGTTGTATGGAGGAGAAAGATAAGGAGGAGAAAACTGTACGGAAAAGAGAAGAGAAGGATGAGGAGGAGCCTGAGGATGGCACCGCTCAGGAAGATTATGACCCCATGGACGCGGAAGATGCTGAAGATGAGGATGAAGAGGTAGGACACTGTAGCAGTTACACAACAACAATAAATTACATTTACACAGCGCCTTTCACGTTGCGCACAGCAGTGTCCCACAAACATTCATGGATTGAGTGACCAATTTTGGGGAAGAGGAATTAAAAAAAACTTTACACAGCTGCCTGGGCCAGGGTTTTTTCATGTTTGCAGCTTGCACTTGTAACAGTGCAATAGAGACTGTTATATTACAGAATCAGGTCCCACCAATGTCACCTTTACACTGCTAAAGAAACTGAATAACACACATCCTAGACACAAATACAGCAACTCCACTTGCCATTTCTCGGCCTGCGATTTTACTCTCTTTAGGAAAAATTGGGACTAAACGCGTTTACTAACCTCTCCTCTGCAGATCGAGATGACGACGAGAACAGTAGAGACCGAAAGGATGATCGACGAGAGGCGAAGAGGAAACCCAAGGAACAGGCTTCCAAAGACAAGGTCTGGAAGGGAATCCCCTGTCTGGGGCAGATAACTGAAATAGTAATAGTGTCAGTAACATTTCTGGGGTGTGACACTGAGCTGTGTTAGTAACATGTCCGTGCTGGTGAAATCCGGGTTTAATAATGCTTGTTTTGACATCTTCAGGAAAAGAAGCAGATGTTTACAAATAACAAGGATCTCCTTCTCGCCTTTGTATATTTTGACCAAAGTCACTGTGGGTATCTGGTGGAGAAAGATATTGAAGAAATTATCTACACACTTGGTCTGCACCTGTCTCGTGCACAGGTAAGCACAAATTTCCTGAGGCTAGGATAGAGGGAGTCTGGTTGGTGCTGAGCTGGTCTGTGAGTTGGGGGAACACTGAGGTTTGGCTGTGATGGTTTGTGTCGTGCTGCGGATGGTGACCAGTGTAGAGGATGTTTGGGTGAGGGCGGCCAATACCTATAGTACTTATCTCGTGCCCTCATGAAAGCTACTGAGGATTGTGCCATCACACAAGGCAGAGCACTCGATGTGTAAAGCCTCCATGTGTAAAAAAAAATTAAAAATCCTCCTGGTCTCCCCCTTATCTCCCTTGCTAATTATCTTAAATAATTCAGGCCTGTGAATTCTCATTCGCTCTCAATCAGCTGCACACAAGCATCCCGCTGCATCCCCCCCGGCTGCCCTGGGCTGTTGGAAGGTTACTCCTGACAGGTTGACTCTCTTGTTTCAGGTTAAGAAGGTAATCGGTAAAGTGGTGCTGAGAGACTCCTGTTTCTATCGCAAACTGACTGACGGAGCTAACGATGAGGAGAAAGTGGCAGAGGCTGACGAGGAAGAGGACACCTCACTAGGTACTGGGTCTCATTGTAAATCCTCCTGTGACCAGCCAGCGGTTATCAAATCCAAACTTCTCAAAGTGCTTCAGATGTCTGGTGACTATCTATAGGCCATTTAACCAGCAAAGTCCATGCAAAACCATGGGGTGATTGTTCAATTTTATCTGGTTTGTTGGCCAGGACACTGGGAGAAACTTGCTACTCTACACCTCCATTAGGACCCTCTTAAATGGCTCTACTTTGAAATGAAAGAAGGCCTAACCTATCCTGTTAGCAGTAACCTGTCAGCCCTGGTATCATCCTCGTAAATCTAGCCTGTACTCTTTCCATCACTATCTTTCCTTCTTATAGTGTGGAGATCAGAATTGGACACAGTACTCCAAATATGGTCTGATGAAGGTTTTTATAAATTCAACATCACTTCCTCACTCTATATTCCAGCCCTCAGGATATATAGCCCAAACCCCATTGCCCTTTTTATAGCTATATCTACCTGTGTATATACTTTTAGAGATTAGTGGATCTGAATCCCCAGATCTCTTCCTCTTAAGTTATTTTGCAACCCTTTTCACTACTTCCCCTTCCCCCCCACATAGATATGCCCTATATCTGAGTCCATATTCTGCTGTAAGTGTTAAGTTGCACCAAGTGTTGTGAATGGGAAGTGCTGTGATATCAAGTCACGCAATGGGTAATTAGAAATTAGCATTTCTCAGTTTTGTAACTTTATTCTCAAAGGTCAAATACATTTTCACAGCTTGCACAGAAGACCAGTTAGGGTTGTCTGTGCCAGATCACAAGGCAGTTTCTCTCTTCTGGTCCTGCCCAACAATCCACCAGATAAAAAATTGGTCACTTACTCCATGGCTGTTTGTGGGACACTGCTGTGTGCAAATTGGCTGTCACATTCAAATACACAATCACTACACTACACAAAGTTGCAGATGACGACAAGCAATGGAGGGGTGGGTTCTCTACATTAAGTCCAGAGATGTCCTGCTGATCTGAAAGAGAATTATCAAATGTAAAGATTAATTTTAGAAGCTTAGAAATTTACAGCAAACAAGGACATCCTGCCTATTGTGTCTGCCGTGGAAAAAAGGGAATTGGAGAGCTGGTTGAGGAGGAATATTAAAGGTTTTTATTGATGGGATAATGGGGCGAGTGGACAAATGTAGTCTTGTCTTACTTGTTGATTGAAGGTTACTTTTGCTGCAGGGAACAAGCCCTTTCTGCCGTGCTTATCTGTGAAAACAGGCGGCAGCGAACCTCCAGAGAACAGCAGCCTCTTTGTGTACAACGGGGCGATGGTGGATGTGGGGAGCTTACTGCAAAAACTTGAGAAGAGCGAGAAGAGCAGAGCGGAAATGGAGCTGAAGGTGCAGACGCTGGAGACGAGGATGGGTAAGAGAGCAGCCTGGCTCGCTCACCACTCGCGAGTCACACCATGCATCTGAGCACGTCTGCACTGGAGGGGCGGTTTCTCCACAAGAGCTCATAGTCTCCTGCTCATTCCCTTCACACACACACGCACACAAATATTCCTCCTAATTCTCTTTCAAAAAAAATGTTAAGACATCTCCACGATGTGACAGGGAATCCCACACAGCCACCGGGCTGTGTGTATAGTCGGGCTGCCTAACCTCCCCTTTAATTCTCAGTGTGATTGTCTGAAATTTGTGCCTCTGGTACCTGAATAGTCGCCCAGTGACATGATCTGTTACTATTTACCCCATCATCACCTTCATCATCGTGAAGCCCTCGGTCAGGTCTGTGTTATTACAGCAAATGCTCACCTTAAAACGAGGCAGTGAAGCCAGACTGGCTTTCCAGCAGCCATACCTGTAAGGGCAGTTGGGAACCCCGTGTGCAGCACACCTGGGCTCCTGTGCTCTGAGCTGTGTGCTGGAGGGTGGGAGTGGGGTTGGGGGGAGATGTTCAGCAAGGCTGTGTGAGCGGTGGAATGGACGAGCTTTTTGTTTGAACCAGAGGAAGGAACGAAGCAGATCACTGATCTGGAGAGCATCAGCAAGAGTCTCTCGTCAGAGCTGAAAGAGACGAAGAAGCACGTGAGCCGCACTGAGGAGAGCTTTAAACTGTGTGAGGGCCTGAAGGGCCGCTTCCAGGGTCAACTGACCAGTATCACCAGGACCTTGTCTTCCGTCATGGATGAAATTCAGACTGTGCTCAAACAGGTACAGGAAATGTGAGAGGAACAGAAAGATACTGTTCCTGGCTGATGTGCATGATTAGGACTCCTCGCACACCCTTACATAGACACACACCTCTCACACACGCATTCCCCCCACACACATCACACGTAATAATAATAACCCTTGCATTTGATATAGCGCTTTTCATGTCGGGAGGACGTTCCAAAGTGCTTCACAGAATAGACTGTAAAGTTAATTGACTGTATATTTGTGGGCGAACGCGGCAGCCAATTGCGCACAACAATGTCCTGCAAACAGTCGTGGATTGAAAATGACCAATTTATTATTGTTTTGTTTTGGACGGATTATTATTAGGCTCTGTGTGAAGTAAGGAACTTGCGCAAGGTTTCGCCCTCTGCCTGGAATTGAACTCAGGTCTCTCACTTGCAAAGCCAGTGCTCTAACCACTGAGCTACAGGGCTCCACTAGACGTAGACACACACAGCCATATATATACGCACACACAGCCATATACACACACCTCACACATGGACTCTTTCTCTTTCCTCGCCAAAGTGCTAATTTGCTAGTTCAGGCTGTCTCCCTGGGTTGTCCATTCCACACGCACACTGAATTCTGTGTGACTCATTCAGTCTAACACATCTCTCCTCAGTCCCAAGATCCTCAGACTCAGCAAGTGATTGCTCTGGCGTTTGTCAGTCAGTAACCCGAGATATCCACACTATGTAAAGATCATCAATAGTAGTTGGTGGGTGCTGGGGTCTAGCCTGGTTTTGTGCTGGGTACTGATTCCAGCCCATTCCAACCCTCAACGGTTGGAGAGGAGGAGGTCAGTCAGGGTTGATGCTCCTGATCACTGTCCAGAAACCCCCCCACACCACCCCCCCACACTGCTGGGACACGTGGGCGTGAGTACAGGATCGAGACTGGCTATGAACAGCGTCCGCCTGGTCTCACTGCTTGGGGATCCCTTTCAAAGAAAGAGGGAGATTGACGAATTGAGGGTATAGTTTTACTCTAGTCTCAATCCCACTCATTCCAACAGCCCTGTAAACTCTCTCTCTCTCTCTCTCTGAACAGCCCCAAGTCTCAGACGACGACAAAAACGCGAAGGAAAATGGAACAAGTGCATGAGTGGGTTGTGGCTGCCCCCAGCAACGGGCGGTCTGATAATGTCATTGAAGTATTTTAAGGAATTATAGCTGATGAAAGTGCTGCATGTCATGGATTTTTGTAGTTGAGGAAATGTTTGTAGAGGAAAAAGATGTATAAAGTTTCGAGTGATTGTGAACTGTTAAAATTAGAGATGTGCGTTACGGTGTCTGGACGCAGTCACTCCAGTCAGGAGACTTCCCATTGCAAAATGTTTTTGAGGAACTGTACCTTTTTATGCTAATAAAGTGCGACAACTTGGAAATAAAGGCTGGTTTGTCACATTTGTAATAACTCTCAGTGTTTATTTGGTCTGCAATTGTGCATTACCTCGAGTGGCATTCAAGGGCCACGGTCCCAGTCAGAGCCTGGAAGTTACACACCAATAGTTTTATCTCCCTTGCTCTCCGACCTACTGACTCCCCACTCCACTCTGCCGTCTCCGCTCGGCTGGCTGTTCGACCAAGCCTACGATCACCAAACCCCTCACGCCCCCACCCCAGTTCGGGGTCAGGCTCCATCCTTGTCAAACACTTTAAGACGCTACCCTTTGTGAGCTGGGCTACGTCTATTGCAAGTTGTAACCAATCAGGCTGGCCACATAGAACAGCCTGAAGAGGGTAGTAATGCCACTGACGTTAATACCTTTCCCCAAATGCATCAATATTAATCCTTGTGATACAGCGCCTCATTATGTCATTGAGACATTTCAAAGCACTTCGCAAGATTCCACTATGTGGACTACTAACTATTTGTAGGACAATGCAGCAGCCGGTTTGCTTTCCAACCCCCCTTACATTTGGTTTGAGACAACTTCCTGATGTAAGGTGCTTTATTAGTGTAAATTGTATTTATCACAGCCTCATTGTCTTCATTTTGCAGGATTTACTGTAGAATACAGTGACTATTTTGTAGGCACTAACCTCTCCGGCAGCTCAAGAACCATCCTGTTCCACACATTCAATCAGGTGTAGCTGCTCATCTGCTCCCAACCACACGTTCCCCAGCCCTTGTTGTTAATGCTTGGATTGAGCAGAGGAGTTATTAATCCAGTCTTGTCGTTTTTTTACTTTATATTGTTTAGTTCTGTGCCAGAGATGGGTAACCTGATCTCCTATTTGTGAAACACTATAGAACCAGGTCTGAATAACAGATCTGCTTACATTGCAGGACGGAATCCAATGCACGCAAGAACAACTTTCACAAGCAGCAATGTCACGCAAAGGGTCATGGAGTGAATGACTAATTTTATCTAGGGGTTTGTTAGCCAGAAGACCAGGATGAACTCCCCCTTTCTGAACAGTGCCGCAGGATCTTTAATGTCCACCTGAACAGGCAACAACAACAACAAGATTACATTTGTATAGCGCCTTTCACGTCGGGAGGACGTCCCAATGCGCTGGCAGACGGGACCTCGGTTTATAATAATAATCCTTGCATTTGATATTGTGCCCTATCATGACTTTCAGACGTCTCAAAGCGCTGCACAAAATAAGGTGCCGACACGATTAGGTGCTACATCAAATGGAAGGATTATTATTATTATATAAGTGCTTGGAGGATTCCCTATATAAAAGAGGCCTATATAAACAATAGCAACAACAAAATTACATTTATAGAGCGCCTTTCACGTCCCAAAGCGCTGAACAGTCAGATGTTGGGGCCCGAGCATGGGGGAGGGGTGGTGTAGGGGTGAGGGAAGGCAGAGAAGGAGACCAAAGGCACGGTCGAAGAGAAGGGTCTTGAGACCGGCCTTGAAGGATGCAAGGGAGGAAGCGAGGCGAAGGGACCGTGGGATGGAATTTATAAATAAATACAGGCCTATATAAATACACTAGTTTGCACTGTTGTTGAGGGTGTATGTACAAGAGAAATATTGGCTTCTCACCCACTCCAGAAGGGATCTCTGGGGTGATGGGGTCTTGCTGACCAGGATTGGGGCTAATTGAAGCCTTATTTTCCATATGCAATTGAGCTGCTGCTCATTGGGTACTGCTGATAAGTTGCCTGTTGTGAGAGGAGGTGGCAGATACAGACCTGAAGTGAAAGGGATTCCTTTCAGAGAACACTCCCTGCTTTGTCTGTCCCTTTTGGAAACAAGATGCTGCTGGCTGGAAAGAGAACGGTCTGAGGGAATTGATCCTGTACAATTCAGGTACCTTGTTTTCCCAGGCGTCACCTGATCCCTTGTCCAGAGTCGCACCTCACCGGCTTCTTGCAAAGTGCCCGACCCAGTTTCCCGTTGTAGGCTGCCCAGCTCAACCGACATGCAAGGTGAGTTTGCAGATAAATAAAACACTTCTCTGCTCCTGTGACTGACTGAGTGTTTGGAGAGTTGCCACCTTTCTGCTGGCTTTGCTCTAACGTCATGAAGCAGGGAAGAACAGGCCGTTGAGACTCCACAGTGTCTGTCCGCCCAGTGGCAGGGTATCTCTCTGACTTGCTCCACTCCCTACACTGACCTCTCCAGCTTCTCAGAGAACCTCTCCCATTTCCACACATTCAATCTGTATCTGCTCATCCACTCCCAACCACACAGTCCCCAGCCCTGTTATCAATGCTCACATTGAGAGGAGGGATTATTAATGCAGTTTTGTCGCTTGTTAATTCTATATTGTTTAGCTTTGTGCCAGCAGTAGGTAACCTGATCCCCTATTTGTGTAACACTATAGAACCTGTTCTGAATAACAGATCCGCTTACACTGCAGGGCGAAACCCAATGCACGCAAGAACAACTTGCTCTGAGGGAACACCTTTCACCCAGCAAAACATCTCCAAGTGCTCGGCAGAGACAAAGTGAGAGTAGGTTTGTTAGAAGGTTTTGGAAGTGAAAAGGGAGGGTGCGAGGTGGAGGGATTCAGGAAGAGTTCCAGATGGATGGGCAAACAGGTCATCCACAAACTCAACAGCCTGGGCTTGGTTCTCCCTGTAAGGGAAGGAAACCCGGCTCAGGAAGGCTGCTGTTTGGTTTGGATACTCTTAAGAATGGTTTCTGAACGTGTCAGACATCCAGCTGACAAAAAAAATTATATAGCGCCTTTCACATGGGGAGGACATCCCAAGGCGATGGACAGTGGAAAGTTTGCACCCAAGCTGGGGATGGGGAAGGGGGAGGTGGATGAAAGCGTGGTCAAAGAGGAAGGTCTTGAGATGAATCTCGAACGAGGGAAGAGAGGAGGTGAAGAGACTCTGGGACGGAGTTCCTGAGAGTGGGGGCAGAAAGGCTGAAAGCCTGACTGCCGATGGTGAGGCGGGCAGGGCGAGGGACTTAAAGTAGGCACTGACGGATTCAGAAAGGACGAGATCAAATGGGTTGAATTGGGATCTTTTTCACCTGAATCTCTTGTGTTCAGTGGATCTGAAGCTGACCAGTGGACGGTACTCTTAATAGAAGCCAGAGATCACAATTCTGGCTGCTTTATTGAAGAAGCACTTAATGTAGTATTAAGGATCAAAGGTTAATCCTGTTCATAAGTATTCCCAGGTTCTGCTGTTTGAAAGGTGAAAGCTCCACTGAGCTGGAAATCTGGTGTCAGTACAGAGGAGGGTCATTACTTAGTGCAGAATGCTGCTGACAGGCATTACAAACAGCATTTTGCACCTGGTATTAGGAATGAACTGGTGTTTTTATAGCCTCTTGTTTGTGTCTAAACATCTCAAACTGCTTCACAGCAATTACTATTTAAGTGTATTTGTAGGCAGATGTGGCAGCGATTTTAAACCCAACAAACAATAACAACTTGCATTGATATAGTGCCCTTCACACTGGGTATCGTCTCGAAGAGCTCAACAGTGGTGGAGCCTGACGCCAAGCCAGAGGGAGGTGACCTTAGGCATGGTCGAAGATGAAGGTCTTCAGGTGCGAGCTGACAAGAGTCCCACAAACAACAATGAGCTGATTAATTTTATTTGGGGGATTGTCGGCCAGAATACTGGGAGAAACCCCTTCCTCTTTCCCAATCATGTTCCAAACCTTTTAATGCCCACAGTCAGGATCTCGATTTAACATCTCACCCGCCTGTCACGATGCAGCACTGCCCACAGCAGTGCACGGAGCATCAACCTGGACTGTAAGCTCAGAGTCCCGAACGTGGGGCTGAAGTCAACAAACTTCTGACTCAAAGGCGAGAGTGAGGTGACTGAGCCAGGCTGACATCAGTCAATACAGTACCACAGCGCTCCCCTCCTCTGACAGGTCTGAGCCACAAGTCACGACGACCTCTTCGGCTGCACGTCTGGACATGTACAGCCTGCAACTCAGAGCTGTGTTCCCCTGGACACTGGGTTACCCGCTCTATCGGCCATCAAAACACACGGTCACTACACTTTACAGTGAATAATAACGATCTTTGCATCGAATACAGCGCCTTATCACATCTTGAAGATTTCTCAAAGCGCCTTCACAGGATATATTATAAAGGGTAGTAGTGGCTTTGTGTTTTGCAGGTGAACCGCCCGTTTGCTCACAGCAACATCCCACAAACAGCCATGAAGTGAATGAGCGATTTTATTTATATTTCAGAACCAAAAGACCCATTGATGTCCAGCTGGTGGTAGTGGCTGAATGTGTACGGAATAGAAATGTCTCATTATTTGCCCCAAACATGCACAGCCTCCAAGGGGGTGGAGGTAATGATTAGCCGACTTGGAGCTCTGGCTGGCAGTAAACACCGCAACCCGACGGCTAGACTTAGTAACGTTTCTCCACTCCGTTGGCCTGAGGCTGGATTCACGAATGTTCCACTATTCTGGACTTCATAAGACTTCAGGCAAAATGGATCATCCTGAGGTCTGCCCAATTTTTTTCAACAGCCCAGTGTCAGCAAGAACTTCACCTCTGCACCAAGGCACCCCTCACCTTCCCCCCCCCCCCCCCACACACACACACATACACACACGCGCGCAAAATGCATTGAGCAGTTTTATCGACTAGGAGTGTTGGCTGAGCGAACACACACGGACTGTGCCAGCGGGGGAGCTGGGTCAGGTCTTCCCCCTCACTGGCCTGCATTCCCTTCCAGGGGGTGGAGAGCAGTTTGCTCTCAGGGGGAGTTCGTCATGCTGTGAGGGGCGCAGGCCAGTGTAAGGGTCCCCGCTCTGTGCTGAGTGACTGATCTCAGCCGGGTTTGGGGGTGGGGGGGGGAAGCCATCGTGCCTGTGTTGGCTCTTTGAAAGAGCTATCAAATCGTCCCACTGCCCCGTTCTTACCCCATAGCCCTGCAAATTTTACCTGTTGAAGTACCCTTTTGAAAGCTACCACCGGATCTGCTTCCACCACCCTTTCAGGCAGAGCAATCCAAGTTGTAACAACTTCCAAACATTGGTGTTACAGTGTTAATTTTTTTGTTTTGAAAATATATATTTATTTGTCAATATAATAGTACAACAGAAATCCCCCCAAAACATCTTCTGTTACAATTCTTTCCCTTTTCTCCCAATACAAACGCATTCTGCTGTTTATGGTATATTCCTTCCCCGCACATAGGTTGCGCACACGTTTTTTGGTACGCTCCCTTTAACAGTCGGGAGTCGCCCCTGTGAGCACTCCATCCATGTGCGCACCCACACACACACCATGTTACAGTGTTAATGTTACACTCACAGCTTGGTTTGCCAATCAGCAGGGCCACTGTAATAGACGCTGGTCAGTTTACTCTGTTCACACAGTGCCACGTGTTGTGTTTCGGGCTTTGATTTGAGAAGCTCTGTCTTTGCATGCAACATGCATGGTTTTCGATGTGAAAGGTGCTCGCTTGCCTGGCTTGATGTGCAACACATTTGGTGGGAGCAAACAACTACACAATTAACACTGACGATGACACGCCATCACACTACAGATTCACCAGAAGTAGAACATTCGCTCTTTTTGTTCCTCGAAAGAAGACCCAAAGCACGACCGCAGTGACCACCCACCTTTCTTGTACGCGACCCCGAGGATATCCTCCACTTGGTCCGCGAAGCCCATGTCCAGCATCTGGTCCACCTCGTCCAGGACCACGTGCTTCACTTGGGACAGGTCCACCTTCTGGTTCTGGAGATGGTCCCTGATACGGCCCGGGGTGCCCACCAGGATATCAATGCCACTGCGAATGCTGAAGACTAAGAGAGAAGACAATCTGATTGCCAACCAGCCTTCTGAACATCCGGGTGCAAATAGCTGCTTCGTACCTTACATTATTAATGAAGCTAAAGCTTACTACCGAGTCCCTTAGTGTAGTGGTTAGCCTGCCAGCCTCACAAGCAAAAGGAATAGGGTTTGAATCCTAGGCGGGCCGAAAACTTAGGTAAGTTTCCTTACTCCAAACGCCTCTTTTTACCTAGCAGTAAGTATGAACCCAGTTTTTAGTCAATTGGTGGATCTGGGGTTAGTCTGGGGGGAGTGAGGGAAGAGTGGGGTTAGCTGGGGGGGGGGGGGAAGAGTGGTGTTAAGACTCGGGGGGAGGAGAGAGTAGGGGTAGACTGGGTTGGGGTAAATGAGGGGTGAATGGGGTTAGACTGGGAGCAGCGAGGGGTGAGTGGGCATCTCACCCAGATGACGAAGGAAAAAGACAGCATAGCCTGTTTCTGTGCTGTAGCAATCTATCTCTCAGGCTGAGAGGCTACTCAATGCTGCTCTGTGTATAAATGAAAGCTCCCTGAGCAGCAAGTACTTACTCTGTGGTTTGTAATCGGTTCCACCATAAAAACAAGCGACCGACAGTCTCTTGGTTACATCTTTGAAATCTCTGGCCACCTGGATCGCCAGTTCCCTGGTTGGAGTGAGCACCAGCGCCTGGTCAAAAAGAGGAAGAGAAGGGAACGACTGCATTAAAATCTACGCTGGACTATCCAACTCTCTGTTCTGCATCGGGAGGTGGGTCAAGCACAAGTGAGATATACTAAGCAGGTAACCCTGGTGATGAACCTACCAACTGAGCTCAGAGAGCGAGTGCCTGCACTGACTGGATGCATTGCAATGCAGACGCCGAATGCAACAAATTATCATAGCACCAAACTCTCGTGTCACTTGACATTACAGTCGCAGAGCAGCAATCGGGAGCAGGGAAGCAAGAACTAAATACAGCGGATTCATTCCCATCCTTAACTCAGCGGTACTGAGCACTGTGCAGCGGCAGAGCTCCTGTGCCTGGCACCTCGCCTCTCCAGAAGCAGTCTGGGACGCTACCCCACATGAAGGGCGCTTTATGAATGCAAGTTGTCGTCGTCGTTGTTGTTGTTGATGGATGGGGAAGCTCCTCGCCAGGCACGTCTCACTTTGCCAACTGAACTACCGGGCAGGTCGCAATGTTGTAATTTAAATAAATAAATAATACGGGGTGTTTATTGCCGGGGGGATATCTCAAAACTCGTCACAAGAATTACTGTAAAGTAGATTTGCTGTAAATTTTATTTGGGGAGATTTTGGCCAGGATACCGGGAGAGAGAAACTCCCTTCTCTTTTTAAATAATAATAATAATCCTTGCATTTGATACAGCGCCTTATCACATCATCGAGACGTCTCAAAGCGCTTCACAGAATATACTGTAAAGTGGATTGACTCTATATTTTGAATAATGACAGACACACAGAAATAATTATTCCCATAAAGCGATTCAACTAGCAACCGGGCTCCTACTTGCGGCTCGGTAAACAGACACTTGTGAAGTAAAGAAACTTCCCTAAGGTTTCGCCTTGATGGGGGTTTCGCTTGGCGTGGGCCATTGTTTCTCTCCGTCACCGAGAAACGACACTCGCTTTCCCATTTTTGTCGAAAACTTTGACATCCTTAAAGTGGTGGGAGGAAAAAAAAACAAATTTAAATTCCGATTGAATTTTAAGGATCGCGGACTAATGCATGTGTGGTTGTCTGAAACCGGGTGGAATTTCAGGCCGGTGCGGTGCTGTGCTCTGGTTCTCATGTGTGACCGTCACGAGCTGTAAATCTTTAAAGCAAAGGTTCCTGGAGCCCTGGGTGTCTGTCCGAGGGAGAGAGAGCTGTGTGCTTCCCACGCAAGCCCTCGACGCCTGTCAATGTGGCCTCAGCTGTTACAACTCACTAACTTGTGCAGGGGACAAGCAGTGGTGGAGCAGGACACAATAGCTTAGTGGAAAGCTCCCTCCCTGTGCACATCTTAGCCGCAACTGGAATGTGTCAGTCACAGATGCCGCCGAGCGCTGGAACTCATCCCCCCCTCCCGCTCTAATAGGGGTGAATGTGAGGACAAGCACAGGATCTCCACAGAGGCATTGCCTCAGGCTCTAGCGTTCGATGCAAAGCCTTCCTTCCCAAACTTTCAGTCTCTGGTCTGTGTACCGGGGTGCAGAATTCTCGTCCGTGTGCTGGGTGATTGATCTCAGTCGGGGTGGGGGGCACGGGGGGGGGGGCGGGGGGGGGGGGGGTGCATGGCAGAGAGATATTTTTATTTGTTATTTTTATGTATGATTTTGTAAGCACTATTTTGAAGGCGCTATATAAATGCAAGTTGTTGCTGTTGAGCTTATTCTGCCAGTGGAGAGGGAGAAATTAATGACATCAGCTCGTTGGGGTGTGAGGAGGGTAAACTGGGTGACCACGAGCAGAGTGGGGTAGCACTCTCACTTCTGAGTCAGAAGCCAGAAGTGGGTTCAGGGTTGTGGAGTGTCGTTCAGGGCTCTGTCCTTGGTTCTCTCCTCTTTAATATCTGATATCTACATTAATATACACATGTGGAAGTTAACCCCATGCCTGAGGATGACGTCACCAAGAGGGAGCTTGTCAGACAGTCATATCAATGGAAAGCTATGGGGTTTGAGCTGGTTAAGGCTCCAGCAGTTACCCCAACGCACACTCTGGGGTCCCCAAGCCCCATGGCTCTTGCCAACCTGCGCCTCGTACTCTCCAGGATTAGGTAAGTAGGATGTGTCCCTCCAGGGAGAGAGCGCGGATTCCATTCAAACAATCTATCTGTGGGATTTCCACGTGCAGTCGGGACGCATGGACATCTCAGCTTGGTTTGGGTACTCTTAACAACAGCAACAACAAAATTACATTTATTTAGGGGCTTTCACGTCGGGGTGGGGGGGACCACCCTCTCCCCCACTCCTCTCCCTCCACTCCTCTCCCCCACTCCACTCCTCTCTCCCCCCACACCCTCTCCCCCACCCTCTCCCCCACTCCCTCCCCCCACTCCTCTCCCCACTCCCCCCCCCCCACACCCTCTCCCCACACCCTCTCCCCCACACCCTCCCCCACTCCCCTCCCCTCCACCCCTCTCCCCCACACCCTCTCCCCCACACCCCTCCTCCCCTCCTCTCCTCCCCACACCCTCTCCCCCACCCTCTCCCCTCCACACCCTCTCCCCCCCTCCTCTCTCCCCACACCTCTCCCCACACCCCTCCCCTCCACACCCTCTCCCCCACACCTCTCCCCACACCCTCTCCCCACACCCTCTCCCCCACACCCTCTCCCCCACACCCTCTCCCCCACACCCTCTCCCCTCCACACCTCTCCCCCACACCCTCTCCCCCACACCTCTCCCCCACTCCCCTCCTCTCCTCTCCCCCACACCCTCTCCCCCACTCCCCTCCTCTCCCTCCACACTCTCTCCCCCACTCCCCTCCCCCCACACCCTCTCCCACTCCCTCCCCCACACTCTCCCCCACTCCCTCCTCCCCCCACACCCTCTCCCCACTCCCTCCCACACCCTCTCCCCACTCCCCTCCTCTCCTCTCCCCCCCACACCCTCTCCCCCACTCCCCTCCTCTCCCTCCACACCCTCTCCCCCACTCCCTCCTCCCCTCCCCCCCACATCCTCTCCCCCACTCCCTCCTCTCCCCCCACCCTCTCCCCCACTCCCTCCTTCCCTCCCACACCCTCTCCCCACTCCCCTCCTCTCCTCCCCACACCCTCTCCCCCACTCCCCTCCCCCCCACACCTCTCCCCCCCTCCTCCCCCCACACCCTCTCCCCCACTCCCTCCCCTCCTTCCCTCCCCCCACACCCTCTCCGCCACCCTCCTCTCCCCACACCCTCTCCCCACTCCCCTCCTCTCCTCTCCCCACACTCTCTCCCCACTCCCTCCTCTCCCCCCCCACCTCTCCCCCACTCCCCTCCTCTCCACCACTCCCCTCCCTCCTCTGCCCTCCACTCCACTCCTCCACTCCTCTCCCCCATCCACTCCCCTCCTCTCCCCCCTTCCACTCCTCTTCACCCCCTCCACTCCTCCCCCTCCACTCCCCTCCTCTCCCCCCTCCACTCCCCTCCTCTCCCCCCTCCACCCCTCTCCACTCCCCTCCTCTCCCCCCCCCCCCCCCCCTCACACAGCAAACCCCGCACCACACCACAGCGCAGTGTTAATAACAGCAATATAGACCTTGATGTACATTAACACCGGCAGCAGTGCAGTGCAGTCCGGTTGCTGTCCCGGTGTAAACCGCGCACACGGGTACGTGGAGCCATCCAGGATACACAGCGCCTGTTAAACCACAGCGCAGCGTTCGCATTATAGCAGAATATTAATATACCGCAGCGATGTCGGCGATGTGTCAGATGTACACCATAATATAAGAGGATAACCGAGTCACGTTTAACAGCAGTCACTTTGGCGAGTGAGTGGCTGTGGGTGAACGTGAGTGCAGCTCTCGGGGTGTTTCTGGTTCAAAAGTTCTTTTGAATCGCCGCAATAAATTGCGGAGTCTTTCCGTTAGTTTTCCCATCTTAGATTCCCCCTCCACTTCCTCAGCCCAAATTTTTACACCCAGTTTCTCCAGTCAACCATTCCCTTATCTTCCCCAAGTGCGGATGAGATGCCGCGTGTTCTCTCTCTAACTCTGCAGTCGGGCTTCGTGGAAGTGTCTCAGGTGCTCGTGTCTCGGGCGATTTATTCTGAAGGGCTTTTGGGCTTGAATGTGAAATAATAATAATAATAATCCTTGCATTTGATAGAGCGCTTTTCACGTCGGGAGGACGTCCCAAAGCGTTTCACAGAACACACTGTAAAGTGAATTGACTGTATATTTGTGGGCGAACGCGGCAGCCAATTGCGCACAGCAATGTCCACAAACAGTCGTGGATTGAAAATGACCAATTTAGTTTTGTTTTTGGAGGGATTATTATTAGGCTCTGTGTGGAGTAAGGAAACTTGTCCAAGGTTTCGCCCTCTGCCTGGAATTGAACTCAGGTCTCGGATTTGCAAAGCGAGTGCTCTAACTACTGAGCTACAGGACTCCACAGGACTCCAAATGCGCAAGGAGAGAGCGAGGGCACTCCCACTGCTGAAACAACGCAGTTATAGGGTCAGCCTTTGAATATGAGTTGAAGTTTTGAGAGCATCTGTTTGGGTAGGGAGGGGTTGAGTGAGGGAGGGAGTGAGGGATTGAGGGAGGGTGTGCGTGACAGACCGTGAGCGCAAACAAATTGTTTCCCCAGCTTCCTGCCCCTTTTACTGTAATCTGAGCCCCAGCAATCATTCGGTTCTCAGATCATTTACACTTCAAATGTTATTTTAATGTCTTAACGCTCCAGTGCTGGGCCTCATGTCTGTACAGACACTGTGGGCTGAGTAGACCTCTTCTGGGCTGTAAACATGACAATTCTAATACTGAGCATTATTAATGGGAGATTTGCCATCGACAATGCGCATTTATTCAAGGGTAGCGTGTCCCAGAGCGCTTCAAAGGGATGAGACAGACACCAAGCAAGTGGAAGGGAGGGAGGGAGGGAGGTGGCTGTTGGCACATTTCAGAGGTAGGATTTGAAGAGGCGCTGGACAGTCTAGGGTTTGGTAGAGAGAGTAGTTTCCAGAGGTGAGGGGTGTAATGGCTGAAAGCGCTGCCACCGATGGTGGAGCAGAGGGGGTGAGGGAT